AGTGGGTGTGGAGTGAAGTGTTTTCTTGGAAGAATGCGCCGTGGGCAGAAAGGAGATGTAAATGGCATCAGAAGGAACCTAATCCAGACGCATTAAGAGGTATTTATTAGAGACTAACCTAAATTCCATATGTCTTCGGGAAGGAACAGATTAACGTGTTGTTATTGGAAAATAACATACAGTTATTGCGTTATCGCGTTTAGGACTGATCTATCTCTGCTTCTTAAAGGGAATGACTTTTGCATCTAAAAGTGCGGATTCAAACGGTAGAGCTCCACAAATTCAAATTTAGTTATCGCTGAAGTTAACTCTAATAAGTAGGAAAGAGATTGTGTAAAGTTGAAAGACGAAAGATAACTTTGCCTCGATTTCATTCATTGGATCCAGTTTGTTTTGTTTTCGTCCGAATAATTTTAAAAGGGAAAGGGGTGTACTTCACTCTGCAGGGGCGTTGGAGTCTATATCAGCAGACGATGGATTCGCCCTCAAAAGCCATGGTATACACAGCATTTGCAGCCAAACAAAATGGATCAGACGTTGTACAGGTCAGGAAAATATGGGGAATACAGAAATATTGATTATCTTATATATGTGGCGGTGGGGCACACGGGAATTCAATTAACCAAAGTTTTGTGATGTTTTTATGATGCAGCTACATACGAACTGCAAAACATGTGTTCCATTGGGTTACGAGGTCTGATGTTATGACAACAGCTAACACTAACGCTATTTTTGGTTTTAGAGATGCAGGTAAAGATATTTTAAAAATTACCCCCTTAGTTAAACTCGCGCTCATATCCTTTATGGACGTAATTTACCAGAGCTACGTCAAGTTACATTGAGTCATTTTTATTATGTAGAGAAGTAAATCTTCAATTATAAAGACGGTTCAAAATCATGTTCGATGAGATAGAAAAAAACACAAATGAGTCAGTCAATCACAAATCAAGAAAGAGCAAGGATAGAGAAGGGTGAAGTGGACTGCAAATACCAGCTTTAAGAATTTAGATAACCCATGGTCTAATGAACTCCTTTGAAGGAATGACTTTCCACATTATTTCCTCTTTCTTCAGAATTTCCTCGTCTTCCACCATTCATACCAAATGGATTCGTTGGTGGGAGTGAGTCGGTGGAGGGATCTCAGCACAGTTTCAGTTGTAAGGAAGGATACTCTCTTGTGGGGGCAAACACCCTTCAATGTAGCGATCACGAAACTGGAAGGGCTCCGTTCCCACGTGTCTCAAAGGTACGGACGCATGAGAGTTCGATCATTATAAACTCCACCTATGTAGCACTTTCTGTTAACTACATGGTAATCTGAGTACCTAGTGGAGACCTGCCAGAGTTTTTTTTTCTACAAAAACTCTTTAAGATATTCAGCATAACAAAAAAACTTTAAATATCGGTTAACAGTTCTGTAATAGCGTCCTTTTTTCCTGACCTAAGAATTATTGTGACTGTATCTGATTCTATTTTCAAGCAAAGCAACTTCGAATATGGGAGGAGGGGGTGAATAAAGGACTTGTTGCGGTATATGAATAAATAAGTGCTCAATTAACGAAAAGGTCAAGGTCAGGAATACCCAGGAATATTATCGATAAGTTATTTGTGTATGGAACTAGGTTTAGGTTTGGTGATACTATTTGCAGGAATGGGTGAGTCACGGGGTGATTCTTCTCTAAATTTATCTAGAAGCGTCAAATGCTGCTGCAAATTTAATTCAATTATTGTTTCTTCAATGGTCACAGATTGTCCCAACCTTCCGTCGTCCATACCAAATGGAAAAGGAAACGAAACTGGTTCCGTAGAGGGCTCCAAGCATCATTTTACTTGAGATGATGGATGTTCATTGGTTGGACAGTATGCTCTACATTGCAATAACACAGGTGCCTGGAATGGCTCTGTGCCTGTGTGTCTTATAGGTAGTGTATCAATTAATGATTGCCTCTGAAGTAACGTAAAATTACCTTTGCTGAAAAAAAGTTCCGATATAGCGAATACTGAGGTTTACTAATTACCATCACCCTAATTTTTCAGAAGATATAGAATCCATTTTGTATTAGATTGTCATTGCTGTTAGGTAAGCAACACGAGCTTATAATTAGCAGCACAAACATATACAGTTGTTGAATTTACTCATGAAACTTATCGAATACATCTTTGGAAATCTTCACACAGGTTGTCCTAGGCTGCTATCTGAAATAAAAAGTGGCAAAATAAATGTTACGCCTCGAGCAACTCTTACGCATCTTTCGTGCTCTCCAAACTTCCCAAGTGCTTCATATCTCGATGAACGCACGCTGACGTATGAACCAATTTTTAAATAAGGTAGGGTAATTTTTAAGTTAAAATTGACATATTTAAATGAATCAAAAGAGAAGGAGAGACCAAACACGTCGAGTGTTGTCCCAATAGCGTGTGATTTGCAATAGGAGTACAGCAAAGCAAATGGCTGAACTCCGTGAAAATGCACGCTATATATTTTGGTCTCACTTTTCACGGGCTAAAAGTAATATTTTTAAATGATAAACAAGAAGAATTTCTCGTTGAAATGATCTCTTTTATTTTATATACATTTGTATACCCCCGATGTTATGGTCGTCTGAAGTATGGCAAAATTCAGCGTTCAAACAGAGTACAAAATCTGGTGTACTTTAAGCGCGAGTGGTTACAAACGAAAGAAAGTTTAGTTAGAGATGAAGTATAGTTGGAAAGCTATTCCAAGGGATGAAAAACAACTTATGAAAAAATGAATCCAAGACAATTTTTTGTTGTCTTGAACGAGCGTTGTGGAAATGCACTGAAGGCATGATAGAAATATGCAAATTAGGTAGGTTTTGGCCGATTTCGAACTTTCGTATTTTGGCCAAAATAAAAACTTGCTGGAATTTTTGAATATCATTTTTGAAAACAGTTCACCAAAAGTGTCTTGGAGCAAAAAAAAAAAGTTGAAGTTTTGCTTCTGTCGCCGGATTCTTGAAAATTACTGACAATCTCTCTTAAGGTGCTATGAAACCCAAATGATATCGAGCAAATACTGGAACTGTGAAACTTAAACCTGGCATAAATGACCTTCGTTGTGACAGGAATATCTCACAACGTATGAAATCCACAGCCTATTTCAACTTGCGGCAGGGCCTTCGGCAGACAAAGACAAAAAACGGTTCCGGCATAAACGGTTTCCTAATTTTTGGGAAAAAAGTTTTATGCAATCTACAAAATCATTCGCTATTTGCTGAGTTATACAAGTTTTTCGGTGATGATTGACGACCTCATGCGACCGAATCAACACACACATGTACATAAAGCATGTTACAATATTTGCATGCGCGTGATGGGACGCGCGTATGTTTGGCAGGTGAAAGTTTCTCGCAAGCCAATCACATACCCACTTCTGACGTGCATTAAAAACATAGGCATGCTATGCGTGCAAGAGTTATTTTTTAGTAGGGTGGGTGGATTACTTGAAACATTGTAAATGATGTCTACATTTTTACAAAAGGAAAGAAGAGTATTAACGCGGAAAAGAACGAAAATGTCGAATTAAGTCACACACAGGTATTTTGTGGTAGATTGCGTGTGTTGTGCGAATAACTGTAACCAAAAATAAACTGTATTGGTGCCACGGATACCTGTTAGTACAAAATGCAGACAGCAGACTGCAGACCGGGTACAAAATGTAGACAAGGTACAAAATGCAGACTGAGAATCTGAAGAGTTTTTCCGTCTGGTATGTAATAACATGTCATCTTACAACTTGCCGAGCGTCAAGCAATCGCTTTTCCGCGATCAGCTTTCACGATTATTTGCACTATTGTGGAATATTCCTAGCCCATTTCTTGACGCTAATCGATCGTAATGTAATTTCAAGCCTTCATATAGTTTTATCACTTTGCGCACGAATTGGTTGGTGTAACGTCTGTACAGATTTATCAAAGTAATAAAAGTAGATGTAGATGTAAATGAGATGTCACTATTGAATATTCATCCCGTGCAACACTCGAGAAACAATTGACAGCTTTGCACGTGGTCCGTGTTATCATCTTTTTAAGTGGTATGTGTTTATTTTGTTGACAAAGATGCGGACCGAGACCAAAACTGTTCCTTCGACTAGATATATTTTTGACGTTAGTGGATCACATCATATTAGCTTGCCTCCGTAAATCATTTATTCCAGATAACATAATCAAATAAACACGCTAACGATGGTATCTGAATTCGTCCTTGGCCAAACACAAACGACTCCACAAGATCACTTTCTCCAGGCATCGAAAACATACACAAAATCGTCCATAGTTAATTTTAATCAGGCATTCATCTAGAGATGGCACCAAGCAAACCAATCCAGAAAAATATAATCGGCACACTCAACAAATCATGAATCTTACAACACAGCGTGCCGTCAAAGAACTGCTCAAATCAAAATGTTTGGTGCAACTCATCAACACCTCAAGCAGTATTTGATTAAAAAATTTTCCACTCACTCTCGTCGTGAAGGAATAATAACCATGATCGCGCTATGGTGCACAAAACTCCATATTCTCTCGTATAACTATCCACCATTTTCACAGCATGAGTAACACGTTTACTATAGGTAATCTGATATCTTTCATCTGTCCAGTAGTATCGCATTTCTCGTAAAGCGCGGTAAAATACACGTTTAAAAACACAGAAAAGCCAACACTTCCCAGTCTAAAAGATGATTCCAATTTACAAACGCGCTCTCCACAATTCCCCATTACTTCGTTGAAATTTGAACACCTCTCAAACCATAGAACAAAAACGACGCTCTGATTGGTGCGAGATACATACCCTAGTGCGGTGATCTGATTGGTGCGAGATACATACCCTAAACGATTTGATTGGTGCGAGCAACATACCACTTCCTGTACGCTAAAATAGATGTTATTTTTTTTCAATAAAAAACTCAAAAACGCCTATTTCATGTCTTGTGATGAAGGCAACCACTCCTTTGCCTAGCTGGATTGGACGTTGAACCAACATCACGGTTACAAGAAAAATTTTCCTCTCGGAACACAATGATGGTTGTCTCTACATCCAAGCTCTTTTTGCTCGCTTTATTTTCGGTGGCTGGAACTGCCAACGGTAAGCTGATCTTTAATCTCTCGAAATTCAGGTGTCATTAGTAATATTGCTGTCAACAATTTATGTCGCTTAATTGAGCCATGTCTGCACCGAAAAACGTAACATGGAATGAAACTGGGGAGGAGGGGTTCGAACCGCTTTTCGTGCAAAATTTCTCTTCAAAACATAAGTAAATCAGTGCCTTCCTTTCGCGTGGTTTAAGCTTATTTAAGCTTAAAATGTAGGGAAGTTTTGATTTATTCTGTTCTTAGGGCGACGAGAGAGACCTGATAGAACTTTAATTAAGGCGCAAAGTTTATTTATTTATTCATTCGATAATCTGTTTTATAACTGCGCCCCAATAGTGCCAAAAGTGGGGTAGTTGCGAAAACGAAGACCTAAGACCCCCTACGAAAACGAAGACCCATTACGAAAACGAAGACTCCCCTACGAAAACGAAGACAAATTACGAAAACGAAGACCCCACACGAAAACGAAGACCCATCACGAAAACAAAGACACATTTCTGAAACAAGTTCAAAAGAGGTTGGTATTACCTTTGAGGACAAAGATTATGTTCATGAGACACACTACGAAAACGAAGATCCTTACGGAAATCTTGAATTCTGAATTTGACACGTCTGTAATTTATTACGGAATATTTCAACAGTAGAGCCCCATTGAGCCTTCAATGGGACAACAAAAAAATCTTGCATTCTGAATTTGGCGCGTCTGTAATTTATTATAGGAGAATATATCGAGTTAGTATATTCTATCAACTATAATAGGATAACTGTATTGATCTGATTTTAATTGCGTTTCCTTAACTCTTTTTTTTTTTAACGTAAAGCAAATGTATTAAGCGAATCAAAGAATGCGATGACATTTTTACCAGCAGCAAAACACACAGGACAAAGCTTGCATGATAGTCTTTGTATTTAATGTTTCCGGAAACTCATTTGAGTGACATTTCATGAATAATCCTGTTGATAATTAAGTACCTATGAGAAGCTTTGAAGTGCCGTCTTCAAATTTACGGTGCACGTGGTTTCTTCCACTTGGCGTGCGTGGCTCAAATAACGGCCCAAAAGCTTCCCGTTTTTGTGTGAAGGCAGCTCACTGATGGATCAATTTGCAATGGAATACCGCAGTTTAAGTGGGAGTAGCGTAATGCTTTGATTAAGGCATTGATCTGTAATTTTTTATCCGCAAGAAAAGTTTTATTGGAATCAATCAGTCGAATTCACCTTTTGGACTTCAGATTTGATTCAAACAAACCCCGAAAGTTCGGACAATGAGTCGAGCTCGCAACACGTGTTCAAACTTCGGCTTTGACATGTTTTATTCGGCAAACGACAGTACATTCTTCCTCGCCGGAAGTTTAATTACCGCTAGTCGATGTTATTGTTATTAATAAACTTAGATCTTGTTGCTTCATTATACACCACCATATGCGTGTAAGGTCTCTTGTTGAACAAGTAACGTTTATATTGAAGTGGTTTTCAAGGTATTGTTACAGTTGCCAAGAGCTTTTCCAGTCCCTAAACTTATAAATCGCAAGGAGGAGTAGCGTAACGCTTTGATTAAGGTATTGATTTGTAACTTTTTACCCGCAAGAAAAGTTTTACTGAAATCAATCGGTCGAATTGCCATGTTTTATTCAAACAACAGTATATTTTTCCTCGCCGCAAGTGTAATTACCGCTAATCGATGTTATTTTCATTAATAAACTTATATCTTGTTGCCTCATTTTATACCACGATATGCATGTCATGTCGCTTCTATTAAATCTCGTTTTAGCTTTAAAGTAGTCCCATTGAAGGCTCCATGGGGCTCCACCGTTGAAATATTCCGTAATAAATTACAAACGTGTCAAATTCAGAATTCAAGATTTCCGTAAGGATCTTCGTTTTCGTAGTGTGTCTCATGAACATAATCTTTGTCCACCAAGGTAATACCAACCTATTTTGAACTTGTTTTAGAAATGTGTCTTCGTTTTCGTACGGGGGTCTTCGTTTTCGTAATGGTCTTCATTTTCGTAGGGGGGGGGGGGGAGTCTTAGGTCTTCGTTTTCGGAGTCTTCGTTTTCGCAACTACCGAAAAATGGTGCTTTTACGCCAACAGCATTTACCCATGTCTTGAACATGTTAGTGTCCAGTATTAAAGCTCGTTTTCAAAAGACATTTTCCTCGTCATAAACTGCTACATAGATGAGCAGCAATCAGCGAGAAAATGCGAGAAATTTAAATCACTGTTAGGTCACCTTACCTTCAATTATAACGTCTTCGTCGTTTTTAAATATTTTCTTAATGTCCGTACCTGTTTAGAGATGCTTTTTTAATCACCTTGAACGCGCGCTTACTAACGAGTTTGATTTCTACCTTTACAATGAGAGTGTGAAGGTTTAGTTGTTTAAAACCTAAAAGCTCTGTTGAAACAAGTACAAGTCCCTTCCAGAGTGCGACAAAGCTGGTAACAAGCAAGGTTACAAAATATGATAGGCGTACTATAACATCACGTCGTCTAACTGGTACTTCTTGTGTTAACGGTGAAATTGCACTTGAAACCCATATTGTTTTTTCATATGTATTTCTTGAAAAAAATAATGAAAAAACAGTTTTTGCTCCCTTTTTTCTCTGGTGAGGGATGTTTTTCATTCCAAAGCTGGCGGAGATCTAAAAGTGATTTCTATTGCGCGTGCGTGACCCAATCTAATTGCATGACCTGTGAATTTCCTGCTTAAGTTTGTGCGTTTGCCCTAAGTGTGATCAGATTTTTTCAAGTTGTGACAAAACGAATATTATTATCATCATACATAGATTGGGACCTTAAATTACTCCAAACCATTATAAAATTTTAAACGAAAAAATCCAGACTAACTTACGAGCAGGAAAAGAGTTTTCGATCAGAGCAGAAATAACATTCGATTCCTATGATATTAATAATGCACAAAAGTGATGAATAACTTTAAGATTGACCTCCGCTCGCGGAGCGCGCGCGAAAGGAAAGTTCAAACGAGCAGATGCTCGAGTGAGAAAGCTCTTTTTTTCTTACGGACGTGCGCGCGTGAACTTTGGTTGAGGAACGACAAGTGCGAAATAGCAACTCGACTCGACATAATCTTTTTATGTTGTAGGCGGAACATATTTATCGCATGCAGGTATTAATTGATTTACGTGAATTTCATTTGGCAAAGTGCTTTTAAGTATCAAGGTTTTGTGGTTTAGTCCTCGATCCAGTAATCGGGGTGGTTATGTAACTTCCAAATTATTGGCTGTCACTTTACTCAAAATTTTCAAAAAGGCTGGCTAAAAGACTCTTTTTTGTAGCGGTTTTTTGTCTTACGAAAATGATTAACTTGTAACCACCATGTCAACCACTATCGTAAACACAAAAACTTTGTATGGGATTTGAACCCATGACCTCTGCGATACCGGTGAAGCGCTCTTCCAACTGAGCTAACAAGCTAACTGGTCATTATTTTGAATCCAAACAAATAGACCTATTTTGCGCGCTAAAAGACAATTGGCTACTTAAATAGATTTCTTAACGTAGTTTTCAATATTCTTTCTCCCTGGATCAAAGACAAGATGAATCTTGCCTATAGTAATCTTTCTTAATGTTTGGAAGGCATCGCTTGAAAGTTTTCCAAGTTGCATTCCAGATCTTTCATAGAACAAGCTCTTTACCGTTAACTTTGAAGAATTGTCGATTTATTTTTTTCCCGTTAATCTTTTTACGTGGATAGCATAATGTTACTGCTTTGAGGAGCTAAGGTTGAAAAGAAAGAAACTCCCCTTGAATTGCTTCATACGTGAATCCTTTGAGGAAGAAGCTAGTTTGGTGGCTTAAATTCGAAGACAATTGAAAACGTTGAGTTTGTCGACTCGCTTGACTTTAAGGTTGCTTAATAATAATAGTAATAATGATAATAATAATGCAACACTTTCTATAGCGCCCTATTCTAGAGCTCTAAGGCGCTTTACAGTATAATTTCTAAAGCAGTAACTTAGAAAATAAATTAGAAAAATACTAGAGCAAAACAACAAATGAAAATAATGCTTAAAGAGATAGGTTTTAAGGTTGCCCTTAAAAGACGTAAGATTTAAACTAAATTTTATATGTTCTGGAAGATCATTCCAAAGTTTAGGGGCACAGACCGAAAAAGCACGATCACCATAAAATTATAACCTCGATCTAGGTGTCACTAACAAGTTCATGGCTGATGATCGTAAATTCCTGGATGGCTTGTAAGTTTGCAACAAATCACGAATATAGCTAGGACCTAAATCACTTAAAGATTTAAAGGTCAACAGTAGGATTTTAAAAACAATCCTCTGCTCCAAGGGAAGCCAGTATAGTTCTCTCAGTAAAAGAGTAATACGGTCATATTAAAAACCACATAAGATTAGACGCACTACACAGTTCTGAACAAACTGAAGTCTATGAATCAAGTATTTCGGAAGTCCATATGAATTTACATAATCACGAAGGCATGCACTAACATTTTGGTGCTCTCAGCTGACAAGAACTTCCTGATACGAGAAATATTACAAATGTGAAAAAAGGCGGATTTAAAAATGGCAGCCACTTAAAGTTTCATAATCAAATTGTTGTCAAAAATAACACCTATGTTGCTGGCAGAGTGAGAGGGAGTTATAACTGAACCATCAACCGCTGTCAAAGAGACTGGAATTGCAGCCAGAGTCCTTCACATCCATTCTTCCTGACATCACAAACGAAGCCCGCGAATCTTGCATATACTTTCCTTTCCTTTCCTTCGTAGGTATCACCTAAATGTTTCTCTGCTTCTTTTCCTCCTCAGCTAAGCTGAAAGTCGAGGTGACTCCAGTAAACAGCTATGCGATGGAGTATTCCTCACTCCAAATAACCTGCACTGCTTATGATGAGGCCAATGTACAGATACCAGAAAGTATCCGATTTATTGAAGTAGATGATATCTTGAATGAGAAGAATTTAACCGATAAGGACAGCAACCTCAACTTTACAACAACGCGAGAAGGTAAGAAACCTCGAAAAGTTTGTAAACTATGCTTAGACTGGGAGAAATCTCAGCAGCGGTGCGTCATTTATCATATGAAGACAATTCAACTATAGGTTACTAAGAAGAACAGGGCTTTCTACTTCTCAGTTACCCTTGAATTGGAAATATAAATCACAGACGTTTGGTATTATTTGGTCCTTAGATTTGCTTCGGGAAACTGAACAAGTTTAGTTTTTTAACTGTTCAAACTGCCACAGTTTTATTTTCTACCGCTTGAGGCTTCTGACACGCAAGTGCAACTACGTTGACGGTGATAAGTCTTAGTGAAATATCAAGTCGGAGTTATCCTGGGGTAGGGAGGGGGTGTGTCAGTATCTGGCCTAACAGAAAGAGGCAAAATGCATCTAAATACGGCCCAGAGTGAAGGAAAGCAATGAAAAGTGCTCAATGCTGTGGTAGCAGAGCTAAGTATATATTAGTTAAAGAATTAAAGAGGATGCATTGAGGCAAAGTAATGAAAAGTGCTCAATGCTGTGGTAGCAGAGCTAAGTATATATAAGTTAAAGAATTAAAGAGGATGTATTGATTCTCTTTAACTCTGAGTTTCGCGCCTAAGCGCTCGTCAGACAGAACGTCAGAAAGTTCTGTCTGACGAGCGCTTAGGCGCTAAACTCAGAGTCACCGAGAATCGATGCGTCCTCTTTAATTCTTTGACTTATGTATATATATATATATATATATATATATATATATATATATATATATATATACATATATATATATATATATATATATATATATACATATATATATATATATATATATATATATACATGTATATATATATATATATGTAAAACTTATTTTGAAGTTGATTGTAATCAAAGAAGGGCTCATAAAAAGTTTCATGTCTCAACTCCTTTTTCTTTACTTGCAGACAATGGTCGCAAGCTCATAGTTACCATGACAATCCTCAACGTCACAAAAAAGTACGAGTTAGGAAAAGATAAAAGTTACCGATGCGTCGCAAACGCAGTGAACATTAGTAGACCCGCACAGTTTGTCTTCCATATTTATGTAATTCAAGGTATGTTCTTTAATAAACATCTAGATAAAGTGATTTTCAAATTTAAGTGAAAGAGCTACATAATTGTAATTGTTTCTATAACCCCCGGCCAGAATAGCACCTGATAAAGATATTTGACTACGCATGCAGGACATTTACTCAAGCAACAAATTGATGCGTCACCGAGGATAAATCGCACTTACCTCTCTACCTCGAGCTTTAAGTAATTTCCTTGGAAGTTAATTTTTCGTCAGTTACCAACAGCTAACTTGATCTCCTTGTTATCTCCGATTATTTTCTGTTTCGATAGAAAGGACAAGTGGGCGAGGTTCTGCTGTAAATAATTCCGTATGCATTTATTGATCAGTTATAATAACTTCACCAACTGTATGTAGTGGTGATTGGACTTAAATATAATTAGTTATAATAACCTCACCCACTTTATGAAGTGATGAGTGGGCTTAGATATAATTAGTTATAATAACTTCACCCTCTGTATATAGTGGTGAGTGAGCTTAGAAACAATGAGTTATAATAACTTCACCTACTCTATGTAGTGGTGAGTGGGCTTAGAAATAAAAGAGAACTGTCGCTCGTTATCACGATAATCAGAGAAATTAATCATACGCCATGTAAAGGTTATAAATTTGACGCCGGTTGTGCTGGTATTAGAACAATTTTCCATCAAGAGTAAAAAGTGATCCTATATTTTTTTGCTTCACTATGCTTTGGGATTGGTCTATAAAATCCATGCCACCCTTGCAGCCAATCAGATGCAAAAACTAAAATCCCTCCCGACTTAGCCACCTGCGTGTTCCCGCGCTGCAAACAGCTCGCTTGTTTAAACATTTAGTGCTCATTGGCTCATTGTGATATCGTCCTTCGGCGGCCGATTGGCCGTTGAGATTTGTTATAAACAGCACTCAGGCAGTAAGCGCTCCATTACAACACTCAGGCAGTAAGAGCTCCATTGTACGTTTTCTTTCAGAAAGTGACATACCCAAAGTGACTGTCTCTAAATTGACGGTGGATCATTCCGTTTCGGCGACGATTTTTTGCAACATAACATTCAGAGGAAGCCAAACCACAACACTGAAAAGTTTGTGGTTGTCCAAAGACGGCAAAAACCTGAATGACACTTTAAAGGAGGACGGAATTTCAGAATCCACTTCATTGGTTCTCAAAAATATTAGCATGAAAGATGGAGGGATGTATTCTTGCAACTTGAAAGTCCTCCTTAAAGACAAGGTGCCTCGCGAAATAAAAGAAACTAGCTCGCTCACAAGTAAGTGCTTCGTTAGCTACTATGTTACGTATGGATTTATTTCATCATCATCCTTTACCAGACAGTTCTTTAATTTACATCCTTCTATTGTGCAGTGGCTTCATTTACCTGAATCCCCATTAAACTTTCATACCCCCAAAAAACGACAACCTAAGTTATTTTAACTCCCAGGAAAGGGCTTTTTCGACTTCCTTGTTGTTCTTGTTATTATTATTTTCATTATTATATCATTATCATTGTTATTATCACTATCATCAGTGATATAATTGTTATCACTGTTTATTGTGATTAGTTGTCATATCGTTGGTATCAGTGGCAGTAGTTAGTAGTATCGGTATTGCCATTAGCATTATCATTTCCATCAGCATTATTATCATCATTATGGTTATTTTTATGATCATTATCATCATTATTCCAGTTAAACCGTGGTTTGAAAGTAAAGATGAAGAAACTGTCGCGAAGAAGCTGGGAGACGACTTAACCTTAAAGTGCGGTGCCAGAGGATACCCTCTGAAGGTGGAATGGAAGTTTAAGAGTGAGACAGACGAAACAGTTAAGACTTGTATAGGTAAGTTTGAATTGGACATAATTCGAAAAAACTTTTATTGTCTGTCATTCAGTGGTTTAGTTCCTTTTCTGCATTCAATCAGTCGGTAAGCGAGTCATATTGTTTGTTCAGCTGTGTATCAACCATTCTGTCAGTCACCTTGCCAGACAGTCTTGTCGCCAGTCAGCCATTCAGTTCAGTCAGTCAGTCAGTCAGCCAGTCAGTTAGTAAGTCAGTCAGTCAGTCAGTTAGGTAGTAAGTCGGTCAGTCAGTCGGTTAGTCAGCCAGTCTTCCATTACGTCACTCTATCATTCCCTCTGTCAGCAAGGCAGCATTTTGTCCGTCATCCAGTTTGGTTACTTAGTTAGTCATTTAGTTATTCGGTCGGTTAGTCATTCAGTCCGTAAGATCATTCATCAGTCTTGGGTTACTAAGTCCGTCAGGTAGATCAACTGTTATGCTAATGATCAGCCAGCCAGTCAGTCAACTTGTTATATAGCTACCATCCATTATCAATCAGCCAAAAGACGGTAAGTGTATCGATGCTATTTGCAACCGGTTAAGTGCACTATTCTCAAATCTTTATAAATGTTTATATTTTAGATTCTTTAGTGGATAAGCGTTACAAGGTGAGCCAGAAGGGACCTCACGATCCCTATTCCTTGACCATCACAAGCTTGAGCAAAGCTGACCTTGGAGTTTACTACTGCTGTCTGTCATCAGGCTGCTCTAAGAACATTAACGAGGAGCAGTGTCAAAGCTTTGACATCGATCAAAAAAGTAAGTATCTTTAGTGACATCAAGGTTTGGGCTAATGCATAGGTACATTTCGAAGAAAAATGTCTGAAACACCTTCGAAGTACATAATTTTCTTGCAAAACAATCCTTATTATTACCTAATGGAGATTTTCGTATCAATGGAAGAATATTGCACATGCATAGAGTAATCTATCATTGATCTTATGAAGAGAACTCAGGAAACATATCGTCTCGTTGCCTCGAATCCAGCTTGAGACGGTGAGCATCTTTGTGGCTTTTATAATTGAATCAATTGCGTCTAAAAAAAACTGGATTTTAGGCTGCTTCACGAATATGTTTGTTCAGTAGGTAAAGAATCGGTCTACTAATAGCTTTCAACGACAATCCTTAGTTTCCTGTCTGTTCGAGGCTTAACCTTTTAACTCCCATTAGTGACTAAGACAGAATTTCTCCTTACAATATCAATGCAATATCAACCAGATAAGTGACGAGAATAGAGAAAAGTATCAATTTGGGGATAATCAGTTGATCCAATACTAAATTCTCTGAACTAACACTATAAGAATTGTATAAGTGAATTACAAATTTGATCTGGGAGGTAAAGGGTTAACCCGGCAGAGCAGATCGCTGAAAGACCTCTCAAATATCATTGAAATTACGCTTGTAAAAATTGTAACATAACAGAGAAATCTGTCAACCGTCATTGAATTTCATTTTATATATTTTAACATTTTAAATTTTCACTCTTTTATTCCAAAGGTGAACCAACTGCCGGAACAATGTCTGTGGTTGCCCATGACGTGTTCCTCAGTGATATTTATTTTTAGATGTAGCCATCCATTGCCTGTTTTCCAATTCTTTTTTCTTTATGTGATTTTTCCCTCGATAGAATGCCCCTCACTGGCTGCTGGCATAGAGAATGGTTATAAACACGGCCGTGGGTCCGTGGAAGGCTCCTTGGTCTGGTTTAGCTGTGCTAATGGTTATTCTCTTGAAGGAAACAAATACCTCTATTGTGATGAAAATGGTCAATGGAATGGTACAACACCTTCTTGTCTAAAAGGTAAATTAAGTATGTTTTTTTTCAGATTCAAATTTGACGACGACATGCACAAAAGATAAACCATGACTTTTAAGAATAACTGTTAAAGCAGCCGATATCACTTCTCTATTACTGTTAAAATTACTTACCTGCACATGAGTTAATACGCTTAGCGAAGAACATTAATATGTCAGAAAGCTGTACGCTAACACAGCTACACATTCTTTTTCAAAGATTGTCCTCAAATGAACCGCACTCTAGAAAACGGGCACATTGATGGTAATGGATCCACATCAGGTGCAGTGTATAGCTTTCTTTGCGATGAAGGGTACAGCATAGATGGAGAAACCTCGCTGCGCTGTGATGAAAAGGGACTATGGAATGGTAGCATTCCTGTATGTTTAAAAGGTAGGTTAAAGTCTCAGTGTACTGCTTGATTACCTTTTGTAACGGCCGACCTGTTATGCATTAATGCTTTGTTATAATCGCCACCTAATCGAGTTGTGTCTCACAAAAATATAGCAATTAGTTGAAGCAGCTGTAGTAACAGAGGAAATAGTGGCATTAACAGTTAACAGTTCTTTTGGTATCGGTAGTGATGGATGTTTTGCCGGTTGTGAAAGAGGTAATGCTCTTGATAGTAGGAGGATAGTTAGCGATATTAAAGTTCTCTGTGTTCGTGGTACAGGTGTGGTGGTGATAATTATTGCTTGACTGCGGTAGCAGCGGTGATATTGGCAACCATGGCGATTGTGTAGTGTTGATAGTTTTGATGCCAATTGAGATCATTTTAATGTGAGTGGTGGGTGTTGTGTCATCTTGTTGCGAGTGCGTGAACTAATAGCAGTGGTGGCAATGGTTCAAGCGTAAATAAAAATAACTCTGAAAGTCTTTCATGTGTACTTCCCCCTCACTGAAAAACTTTCAATCTACCCCAGCTCGTACAGATAAAGAGGAAAGGGATACGAACGGCTGGTACCTTTACGTCCTAATTGGTGCTGCAGTCCTGATTCTGATAATCGCTATTGGCCTGTTGGTAATTTGTTGTCTACGGAAGTCAGGTAAAAAAGATACAGCAACCGCGAAGGGTGATGGAGAGGCAGAACTGGAAGCTATTATTAAACCTTAAGTGCCTGTGGATAATAAAGACGAATGTAACACTGCGCCACAAAGCGATTGCTCTAAAGATCCTGTGGGTGTGGTGTTAATGAAAGATTTCTGTGGACCCTAACTATGTTTTCTGGATTTCAGAGTGTCATGTCTTTGATGCAACTGTTTTAGAGCCCTCTTTAAACGCTTGAATATTCCCGCCGTGACTTTGCGAGACATCAAGAGATCCTTCCTTAGTATTTCACTCAATATTTGAAATGTCTGTTAAGTTAACTTTTTAAGTGGCGACCTTAACTTAAAGAGATATATTAATAAAAATCCACGCAGAGCGATAAGTTCCATCGACTTACCGTCTTGAAGTAATCCACTTTGAAAAGTGGATCTCCACACCCAGAAACGCTGACAGAGTGTCGAGCTTCATTGTTTAGGAGAAAATTGTACGTGCTTGTTGTAATGTACAGAAATTCCCTTATTCATTGTCTTCATTTAAATTTTCATCGTTTTACGAATGTTTGCTTTCGAAAACAACAATTTTGAGGCTAATATGAGGCGGAATTTAAGCTGTTTTGATTTATAGATTTCATAAAGCATAGTAATTTTCAATTTGACTGTTACATATTTTAAATCAGCGCTCGATTAAGCGCAATTTTTAATTAAAAAACGGCGATTTTTTGAAGGTTTGAAAAAAAAAATTCAACTTCTTGAAAACAAAGCGAATAGTCTCAAAGGTAATCCATTGTTTGCGCTATTGTTTTCTTCTAACAAAGGACTGTATGCATAATAAAGTATGGGGCTGTGCGGAAACTTTGCCCAAACAGGTTACAGAAATGGTTCACGAATTGTAAACTAATAATGTGTTAACAAAACTCCCCAAAATTATGGTGCCGATACTAATCTATCGTTCATAATCACTTACGGACTCTATAAAACTGCTCTCGAATTCGAAAACTGTAAACAAGAATTATTTACTCTAACCATGTGCTTACCAGCGTGCTTGTGAGCTCACATCGCCAGGAACCCGTTTAATTATACGATTACAGCTCGGACACGTCTTGCAAAATGTGATGACTATCAATTTCAGATATTGATCCTTCAGTTTCCAGCATTGGGGAAAAATTATCGTATCGCAGGCATGTTCATTATAACCCGAGCATTAAATTAAGTACGCCTCGAGATGTTGAACGAATAGAAATTAGCTCCTTGTTTTTTGAGACAAACTATTTCTTCAAGTTCGAACGAATCGAGTACAAAGCACGAAAACATAGCGCTGAAAAGTACCATGACCAAACGATGACATTCACTCCCACTGCAGGATTAAAACCATTTTACCAGTGGGTTTGTTTGCTCCTCACATCTGCGCTCGGTATTTTAATTCTCAGATATTTGACGGGTTCTCACACGACAATATTTTCAAAATCAAATTACCGCGCAGACTTAATGTAAACATGAACATCGCTGACGACACAATCTCATTATAATTCAATTTTGGAAAAGGCTGTTACTTCGTTCCTAGGGTAAAACAACAAACCTTCCACAAAGCGTGATTTTTTTAAATGAATAATGTAAACCTTGCGATAGCCAATGCAACTAAAGAGAGAATGACAGAAATTTGCTCACGCTGTTCGTTGTCATTTTAAAACTTTCTAGGCAACACACAATCCGTAAGATAACTTCTTTTCCCTAAACACCACGACTGTATTAAACATTCCAAAAGGTTGGACAACAAATAATTTGAAGAATACGAACACTTTGAAATGTTATTCGAGCGATGAAAGGGCGCGAGGGTTTTAAAGCGATGAATGCAGAAGTCATTGTTTTACCGTACCAAAATGTAATTTCAATTACAAACTGAAGCTAGTATCAAACGAAGATTGGGGTAAAAAATCTTTTAATTTTTCTGAGCCTTAGCGTAACAGAAAACCCAGATAAGACACGAATTACCCTCTTCTTTCTCGGATCCTTTGTGTTTCGCTTCTCTATATTGATGACCCCTTTTCAGTCTGTTTTCTGGAGCTCTTTGTATTTCCTTTTCATGTTGCTCTTCGTTAGATGTTCGCGATAATTCTTGGTTTTCACCCACGTGACTTTTGTCTTGACGACGGTTGCTATCCGCCATGTTGGTGCCCAAACAAATAGTTACATATGCGCTTATAGTAAGGTGAAAGTGAGATAATAGAAATGGTTCATTGCGTAGTTTTCAATTTTCAAACAATGCTGGTTAAAAATGGACGTCATTCATTTGCCACATTCAATTTCAATCAAATCGTGTGGATAACCAGTATAGACAGCGAGAGCGGAGGGACTGAGGAAGGATTGGGCGGAACCCCTGTTCAGGTGAGTATCTGAACGAAAAGTACAAGAGAATACATTGACAAGTAAAAATAGTGAGCCCAGTGGCTTCATTACCACTATCTATAAAATAAAGAAAATAATTATAACCTTGCAGGTTGCAATGAAACGCACTTTCAAATAACCTGTAGCCTTCAAATATTGTTTCTCCTGCCCTTCTCCTTCAGTTGTGTAACCTTGCGGGTGCACAAGAGTGCTACGACGGGAGCGGCGACGCCCGCAGGTTTCGAGCCCACCCGTTTGCAAAGAGTCTGCGAGGGTTCTGCCCCCAAAATAAGACCCCTCTCAGACCTCTTTCCCGCCCGTTTTGCTCGCCAATTCGAATCTCAAGGGCCTCATACTCGAGCCACATCTTTTATGAGAGTCTGCACTTACTAAAGAACATGTGGCTAATGGAATACCCAAATATCTTTGGAACGACTTAATTCAATGAACTATAACCATGACACATTCATTGTTATGACACTAAAAAAGGTTAAAACGTCACCTTAGAGAAAGGTACTTATTCATACACTGAGCTCGCTCGGAAAAGATTACTCATAGATCCGCAGAGTTTAACCCTTTCCTCTATGTGCAGCTGTGACCGAAATATTACACAATGATGAAGATCTTACCATAATTGTATGGAATTGACTGTAAATTTGACTTTGAATTGGAGGACGGGTTTAATGCTGGAGATGGGATGAGGTTTTTCGTTATCCCCGGCTCCCGAACAAATGACATCCTCAATCTTCCTTCTACCTCAAACGTTGCTCGAGACGGTCAGTTGCCATGGATGTTCCGAACCCTTGAAGCAAGTGTGGAGGCTGGGGGATGCAACGCAAATGGTACAATTTGCAAACACAAGTATAGTTCAAAGAAACATTACGGTGTCATAGGCATAGATCTGTGGATGTCGTAGGACATTCAGCGAATACACCTAAAAAGAGAAAAATAACTTGAATTTAAAAAATCTAAATAGGGAGTAAATGGAACAGACCAACAAACTTTGGGGAAAGTGACTTAAAACTGTACGGAAATAATAATTTTATCGTCCACAGCTTTTGTTACTTAGATTCCTTTTTTAAAAGGCGTGCATTCCCCTGCAATCATCGTGCAACCTTTACCGCGAAGCATGAAGTGTTACAGATTGTACTGACTTTGCTCTACAAAATTTGTCGTTTAAGAAAAAGGATCCAACAAATGAAGAGCCGCCGATTTTTACCACGTTCAGTAGACGCACTATCATCAGTTTTTCCTCCCCAATTTTTTTTTTGGACTCGCGCGACTGACTTCGCCGATAAGGAGTGGTTACTCTCGTCTAAACAGTTCCTGGGAGAAATTTCGGTCATCGCGAGCCGCAATTAAAACTCTTGTACCATTTTTCCGTTATACGCTACCCTAGCATTGCATTCATCTGCCTTCTTCTTATTTAACAGAATCTCTCACCATATCACCCCGTTTATGTTAGGAGGTACAAACGTGAAAATGAGTGGACCTTGCTTCATTGCAAATGAGAACATTGTGGTGCAACTCGACAATGACGTCAACCTTAATGCAACTTTTAGCGAAAAGCTAACGTCATCAGTTACCATACTAGTGTTGAACAAGACAGGACGGCTGTCATTCAGTTATTTGGTCATAAAGGTATACACATCAGGGATTTTATCGACTACAGTCTTTCAAATTGTCCGTTGAGCTCACTTTTGTCATCAATTAAAAGTGTAAATTTAAGGAAAAATTAAAAAGAAGGAGCAGGAATTTTATTTTTTTTAGACGAACGATTTAACGTCTACGTCTTTGTTCGACAACCAAGCTCAAAAGCTCAAGTTCTCCTCAACGAGCCATGTCTGGCTTAAATAGTTCCGGGTGTGGTAGAATATCTGATCGCAAAATGGAACCTCGGTGAGGTTCGAATCTTCACAAGGCCCTCAGATTTTTACAAGATATTTGCGAGGCAATATGCACCATTGGCTTTGTTCAAGTTTCCGGGTCGTTCAATTTCTTCCTTTTCTAAAAGGAACATAAAAAATATTATCTCTTTTGTTCTAGTTCCCATAAATCGATACACTCCCGAGTTCCAGCGAGAGGACGGTTATACGTGGCAGGTGGATTCCACGGTGGACATTAGTTGGGATTCGGTAAGCATCGGAGGACTAGACGAGGAAGTATCGATTGATTTGGCTCGCTATGAAATAGGACATGACGATGTCCCCCGTACTGAACAGCTTCCGCGAAGTAGTAAACAATCATCTTAATTCTGGACATAGTCAGTTTACTGTCACAAAAAGGGAGGGAGACGGGTGAAGGTGATTCTTTTAGCAGCAATGTGCGGGAAAGAAAAAAAATTAAAAAAAAAAAAATGAAAACAGTTCCTAAATATCTTTTGGTGTTGTTTTGTGGAAAAATTCATTGTTAGGGGAAAGACTATTCGAATGGAGCGCGCGTTCTGTCAATTAAGAATTGAACACAATTCAGTTGTTACGTCATTTGCAATTCATTGTTCGTTTTTTTCAGCGAGTTTTAATTTAAACTGCATGTTTTGTGTCAGAAAGAAAAGTGTTCTGTTTCGGTAGTCACAACTAAACTGGTTTCAACAACAACTGGCGGCAAAATGGAAATATATCCGAGTAAAGTGCCTGGTAAAGAAGAAAGTGTTTATGACAAAGTTGTAAGACAATTCCGCGAACT